AGCATATAGCCTGTCACATGCCGTCATATTCTTACACAACGTTTGCAATATTGTGTGATGGATTGCGAAAGTGCACACAACATTTATATGCATTCGTTGCGACATGGCATTAAGCTATGAAATCATTACTTTAAAGCATAGGAGCAGGTCATCGTTTTGCAACCGAGATGGGAAGATATCCAAAGACTCCTTAAGCGGATTAGGCAAATGGTATCGCGCCCTGGGGTGACTGAGTGGGCTGGAGCATCGCAAGCGGCTGCTTGAAAAAAGTAAACGACCGTGCTATTCATTACGCATCCTGGCAATCTTGGCAGTGGACATCCCAGCCCTGACCAAGCTTCATGAGACCCTAAATCCCAGACATTCTGCTGCTGTCCGATGTGCCCCCCCCCCCCCCCCCCCCCAACCCTCCGGCTCTGACAAACACGGGGTGGTGCACAGAAGCCACCTAAGTGTATGAGCATGTCAGCTGCCGTAGGCTTATGAGAAGCAGCTGCATATGCACCAGAAAACTGCATTGCATCCATGTGCCTGCATAGCAATGGCCAAAAGTACCACAACAGGGAATGAGCACAATCACTTCCAGCTGCTGAATAGGCGGTCACCAGTGCCGCCCTCGATTCTTAGACGTTCAGCCATCTGTTGATGCAGTGCCACAGGGACACCCACGTGTCCACAGTGGCTGGAATCGTGATGGAGCCCGCCCAAGGACATCTGCTGAACGGCTGCGATGTCTGGTGGGATGTACTGGGGCGTGGCATGCAGCAGGGTCTGCTGGCACTGCTGGTCCACAATCCCATGCACACTCCTTCCACCAGACATGTCCTGATGCGGAAAAGATGGCACCTCAAAGCCATTCCTCATCACGTCTTGGGGCACCTGTCCTTCACAGCTACCCGTGTTCGCTGCTATCCTGGCTTCTGAGCAGGAGACAGCATCCCTGTGCGAAGCTCCAACCATAATGTGGCCGAATCCAGGACCGCCGCCATCACCCTGAAGATGGTGCTCTTCAAGTGCAGAAGTAGCCAGGCCCTGTTGCCCAAGTTTCAGGAAGTCATATCCCTGTAGAGCACCAAGAGCGCCCCCGCCACCCTCCTGCCCACTGGAACCGCCCAGGCTGGCCGTCCTCATTTGCATGTCGACGCCTGTGAGGCCCCTCTCATGCCACAACGACGGCCCGGGCTGCCAAGCGGAGTGGGTAGGTGCAGGTGGGTGCATCGGCACGGAAAAGGCAGGTGGATTGCAGGCAAAAAGGTAACTCTTGTCATACGTGGTAATCTGATCAGAGGGCGGACTGATCGGCAGCGCATTTTGTTCTGGCCTTGAGACCACCAAGCTGGGCTTGTCCTCCAACCACGTCCCACTCTGATGGCTGTCTCCACCGGCTGATTGCGTCGGCTGGCCGATCGGTTGTTTACAGGCCCCCCTCTGATGGCTGTCTCCACCGGCTGATTGCGTCGGCTGGCCGATCGGTTGTTTACGGGCCCCATTGCCTGCATCCCGGCAGGGCAAATACCGTCGCTTCAGCTCTGACAGGCTGAGAAGCGTCTCACCGGCTTCACTCTCCAGCTTGGACAGCAAAACCATCAGGTGTGCTGCACCCTCCCTGCTGGATATCTTCCCTCGTCGCACAGCTCTCCAGGTGGAGTCTAGGGACTGCTCACCCTCAGGGCAGGGATCATCGGGAAGGGAGGCAACATCCAGGGGCACGCAAACAGGTTTCTGGGCACCGCCCACTACTGTGAACACCTCTGCAGTGGTCAGGCGACTTGGGATGGAGCTGGCACAGTTGGAAACCACAGTGGACACTTCTGAAGGGGTCACGTAGTCGATGGAGCTCGAGCATGTCGATTCTGGCTGCCTGTCGGATGTGATGGCAGCTGGCCTGAGAAAACCATTTGGTCTTTGCTCATAGGGCAATCCTTGTTGCAATGTCGGCCACTTGGTTGACTGAGAATCGTCCCAAGACGTCACCTTGCTTCTTGAGTGCTCATTGTGGCAACTTATGGCTCGTTCAAGGGGCCATTGCCCCTCTAAACAAATTGAAGGTTCACACAGTTGAGATGCAAGTGAGGCACCTCTACTTTTCTCTAGGGAGCGAGGAGATTTTGCACAATTCTCTTGAGATTTTGACCCAGGTTTTTGACAACCATAGGGCTGTCTACATCCTGGGCACAGGCCACCATACTGTTTGCATATCTTCTCATAACAAAATAAGCACATTTGGTACCTGAGGACACACACGATCAGCCAATCAGTTGTGTTGCTGGCAAGCATCACCCTACAGGTGCATCTCAATCCCAGTCATCACGGGCAGCAGTTGAAATCCTTGCAATACATTAGCCAGAGGCTGACAAAAGTACCGGTGCCCTTGCCATGTGCAGGTGACACAGTGCACTGCAGGATCGACAGCAACCGAGGCTAGGTGGCATTGGTCCTTTTTTTGAAACAAAGCTGCAACAAGCATACCATTTTGACCAACAAGAAGCCAATGTAGGTGCTAAGTGCACGTGATGACATATTGGGACTATTTATCTGTCTCCACATGTACCGATCTTGCAGCTGCAAGGAGTGGTCGGGGTGCAAATAATGATGCACAAAAGTGATCAAGGCCACAATGACAAGACAGGATATCAGCACAAGGTGAACTCAGCCAACAAGTTTTCCTACTGGGGAAACTAAGTACCGGCAACCTTCCCTGTCATTTCATGTTCGCCCAGGCACTACAATGCCATGCTCACGTGTCCCTAATGGCAAAATAGACAGCAGGCTGACAGAAATCACGACGGCAGCCTAAACCCTGCCCAGGTAGGAAATCAGCAAGAACGCTGATCCTTCATTCCGGTTTATTGCAGGGTGCAGCAACTTACCCACAGGGACATGGTACGTTCTTAAGGTCAGTAGCATCCATTCGTTCAACACATAATGGGCACTCTGTTGCGGCCTGCGCGCCACAGTAGACAGCCCGTCAAAAGCGCAGGCAGCAAGATCCAGAAAGGGACCAAGAGGAAGGGTTGAAGGGATTCCGCCCGGCTACATAGCAACAGGTGCACCTCACGGGCCACGTTTATACATGGACAGGTACTGCAGCCACCGTTCCCTCATCAAGCCTCAATTCATGCCTTCAAATGGCCGGTAGCCGAGAGCGCCACATCGCAAATAACCTCCGTCCACATTCCAATAGTGATGGGGACAGGCAGCAACTTTTCAACGGGACAAGGTCATCCACCGTACCCACCGTCGCACACGCTCGACCCATTCCCGGGTGCTTCCCCACGGTTTCTGCCCAAACAATCCCGCGCGATGCCAGACCAACGCTACGCCGCCCAGGTGCGCAGCCCTCCGAACGGCAGCGCGAGACGCCGGCTCACCTCTTGTACCCGCGCATTGGATTTTCGCAGCTGTTTTCCCTGTTTGCATGATCCATGCCGCAGTGCGTGCGGCGAGGTGATCCTCCCTCGACCCTGCCAGTCCACGACGGATTCGAAAGGGTGAAAAAGGAGGGCACCATCCGGAGAGAGTCCGGGCCAAGTGCGTTCCGCGGTACACACAGAGACGGGCCCCGAAGGGACTCGGCGCATTCGTGGCCAGTCCGGGTTTCACCTCCGGCCAGCGGTGATATTCTCGCCCCGCTCGATCGAAGCGCAATCCACGCAGGCCGCGGCGGCAGTGGGGGAGACGTCGACCCCCGATGCGGCGCCGGCGCCCCAACAATTGACGGCATCAGGCGCCCATTTAGACGCTACATGCCATCCCGATTTAGTCACCGCCGGGTGTGACCAGGCCTCCTCCCCCCGCCCCAACCAAGCGTCGCGGCTTCTGTGGTGCTTTGGTTTGGATCGCAAGCCAGTGGCGGCGTCGCCGGGGGCCGCCGGGGGCCGGCCCCGACTAGGTTTGCTGCGGAGGGGGGTGCGCGGCCGCACCTTGCCCGTTCCCTGTCCTGGGTGATTGCTGGGATTGGAGGCCGGTTCGCTCCTGTCGGCCTTCTCGCCCGAGCACGCCGGCTTCAGGACCATGGCGCTCGTGCGAAGGCGCCCCTGCTGGCGAATCCCGACGGGGACAGGGCACCCGAGGGCGCGCGAAAGGAAACTGTGTCGGTGGCGTGGAATCCTGAATCGAACGTTGCTGAAAGCCCGCACGGACAGAGTTTGTGATGGTGACCTAATCTTGGGCTGGCATTCCGAAATAGGTTGTGAATATTTTGGGTCAGGGATGTCAGTTTTCCTGTTTCGCGGTTCGGGGCCCCGGGCCAGTTCATGTGCATTTGTTGCGGGCGTCTTTACCAGGCGGTGGTTGTGCTGCTACAGGCGTGTGCTGGGGCGGGCACTACATGAACGCTGCGGCTCTCTCGTGCTCAAATTGGCTCTCTTATGGGTTTAGGCTTGGATTTCATGCTCCACTGACCACTGAGGGGACTACGGCTGCGATTCGAGAACAATTTCATGATGATGCTGAGAAGGCTGCGATTCTGATTTCTGCCAAGAGTCGGCAGCTATACTTTTGGATATGTGACCAGCAGGTTGATTCGATGGATACCTTCGGCTTTTGGGGAACCGTTCCGCGTCACGCAGCGAAACGGGCCGGCAAGGAATTAGACCCTCTGTCTTTTCCGTCAAGATCCCTTCTTGTTATTACGGACACCCTGAACTCTATAAGCTCTAAAGCACTGACCCGCTGACCCGCGTTGGCCTTGTCAGCGGAAGAAGGAATGAATCCTCACGGAAAAGACCGAGGGACTAATACAATTTTCCAAGGTGGCCCTGCCTTAAAAAGTTTTTGTGCTTGTGATGTTGACAAAAAGTCGCCGGGCACCAAGACACGCCGCGGGAGAGGCGCCGACAGAATCGGCCCTGCGCGCCCCCCGTGGTCGGCGGGAAATGGGGTTGACCCCAGGCAGCGAGGTTACATCGCCGGCGCCGTGCGGCTGCCCGCGCTCGGCGAAAGCTGGACTGCGCAGCGGGTTGGATAGATTGGCGGAGTAGCAGTTGGCGCGCGCAAGGATGCGGCGTGCCCCGCCGACAAGCGCATTGGAAATGCTGTTCAGGAGGGAGCTCGGGGAGGAGACCAAGGGGTGGAAATGGCGGGTACGGCAGCTGCCACCGGCGTCGTGGCGATTGACGCTTGCCGTGGTGGACTTCGCGCGCTGGCGAAAGTCGTGGGTTGATGGCATTCGCCTTGTCAAGGGAGGGCTAGTTTGTCTGGTGATGGCGTGGGGCGCATTGGCTGCCGGGAAAGTCTGCGGATGGGGCGCTTGCGTTGGATGCCGTCCAGCAGCGGTGTTCCCGTGGACGGGGCTGCCGTTAAGTATGGTCCTCGCGTTTCGCGTGGCTCATTGATGTGCGGGCAGATCGGGCGCCATGGCGGCGAAACCCTGACCTCCAACTTTTGATCTCCTTGGTTCTTGTTTTGCCAGTTCAAAACGAGGTTGATGGAATCGGTCGAGGATGTCATGGACTCAGAGGGTTTGATGCGCGGTGGGTTCCCATCAACCTCCCCTCAACCCCTGGAGTGCATCCTCTGCGACTTTGTGCAAACTGAGTTGCCCAAGACCTCAGCTGGATTCCCATCAACCTCCATTCACCCCCTGGAGTGCGCCCTCTGTGACTGTGTGTGAATTGAGTTTCCCAAGACCTGAGATGGCCCCATGAAGCTACATACCACATGGCCCCTTGAAGTCACATATCCCATGAAGCCCAGAAGCTGGGTGACGGCCACAGAATTGTGGACACTGAGAACAGAATGGGACGATGTGGCCCAAATAAAAAAAATTGACAAGCTACAAACTCTGCTCGTTGCCTTGAAGTGCAAGGGCAGCATTTGATGAAAATATGGACATACATAGCGGAAGCAAAATTGACCCATCCTGCCTGTGGTCCAACCCCACCAGGTTGATGTGTACGCGAATGAAGCGATGACAGCATCAATTGCCACACTGTAGAGCAGCAGACCAGGGTCTGGTAGTGGCTCAGCTGACTATGACACAAGAATCCAGCAGTTTTTGCCAGCATGCTGCTGGTCTGCCACTGAGTTACTTGGGCCTCTGGTGGCAGGATGTGTCTTGCTGGGCTTTTCTGACAATGGGGAATATCTGATTTCATATTCTCACAGCCCACTGGTGGAGAGTGAGTGGCAAGAAGGCTATCACATGCAGGTAAGGGCAACCTGACAGATCTAGGACTGTCATTCACAAGGCTCCAGGTTTCATGGGGCACCAAGTAACAGATGTCACTACCATGGCCAAGGTGTTTTTTTTTTCTTTTCTTGTCTGGACAAGCATTGTCATCCACACTTTGATGATGCTAGGATTTGCATCGATGACCCATGGCTTGCACTTGCTGCTATTCTGTACGAATCAAATGCATGCGGTACAGCTGCCTTGAAGGCAGCAGGTGCGACCTATATAAATCTTGACTGATTGACTTGACTGACTTGACTGATAGATTAGTGCAACAACTTGCAACTGGCAGAGTCCTGTGTGCGAATGTGCTGTGTGGTCAAATGCTAGCATTTGCTGCTGACAAATGATGGGCTGACAGAGGCAGCACCCATTAATTTTCGGATCTGGAATCGTGCTGCACAAGGGTGCACCCAAACTGCCGATCTGTGAGAACTGCTGTGAATGAGGTTGAGCCATACATGCAGTTTCTATGAAGCAGTGCCACAGCAGCAACGTACTTGTCATATTGTCATGGCTTGCTCAGCCCTGTCAGGAATAGCGTCAGTACATGAATTTGTTGCACCCAGCACTGCCTGATTCTGGTGCACCAAGCCCGCACATGGATACTTTCCTGGGTGATTGTTATTTGGACTTAGAGCTGCAGTGATTGTTGTTATTTTGTTTCTTATTTTACTGATTCTGAGGTGATTCAACTGTGCGTCACCATGTGAGGAAGCCAGACTGTTTTGGCACTACCAAGGCACCTGTCGATTGTCTTTGCTGCCTGAGAAATGCATTTCACACTGCAGCTGTGGCGCTTCAACCCCTGTCAAAGAGCAAAGCTTCGCAGGGAGTTTCCACTGTTCTTGTCACGAGCTGCTCGATGGCAGCCATCAGGTGATTTCATGCAGCTGAGCTGGTGTTGGTGTGAAGACAGGGACTGTTGATAGTCGCACAGAAGGTTTGCTGCTGGACATGCTGCTAGAAACACAACGAATTTTGCTGCTGCAGCACCGTGTATTTGGAATCCTATTTTGAATGACTTACTCATTCATTGATCGATTGACTGACTGACTGATGTGCTGATTGATCACTTGTTTGCTTGGTCTTTTGATAAAGGCACTGTGACTTTTAGCATTGCAGCTTGTTGCAAAGGGGTTTCCAGCTGATTGATGTCCCAGTGGGCTGGTGCCATATTTGTCCCATACTGTTGTGTCTTTGGAAAGGAGTTCTGGATTGTTCATTCCCCTTGCCTGTTGAATCTTTGCATAAACAGGATTTGAGCACCTGGCATGTGAGAGTGGACAGCTGCTGATCACCGTGCATGAGACCATGGACTCGAAATTTTGGAGTGAGTGTCAATATGGGCAATGCTGCTTGCAGCCCATATGTTGTTCGAACGCCCCATGTGCCCTGCTGTTGATGATCAATCTTGAAGTCGCAATACCCAACTGAGAACAGCCACTCCCATCACAGCACGGGAAATACTGGTTCTGTTAAAAAAACTACTGTCGCTTTTCCAATCCTGCCTTAACTTTGCTGGACCAACTCAGTTGGTCAATTTGCCACCAGATTCAGATTCCTTCGTCGATTTTGGGTTGATAAGGATCTTGATTATATTAGTCATCGCCATGTAGCAGGAAATTCGCAGCCTTGTCAAAAACGTCTCTATCCACGTCCGTCAGGGCCACAAAACCCTGTAGTTTTGTGTTCACCTTATCCCCATGTGCTAACCTATTTCACCGAAATTATTCAGTAACCTTGTTTTAGGCAACAAATAGGCACTGTTACAAATTTTCAAGAGTTTCGGCACCATTGCAATTATACTATTTGTGGATCATCTCTTCCGCTATGCTGAATCTTGTCTCCAAAATTCTCAATGTCAACGATTGGCCATGTTGGCCCTAACGTAGGCCGGTTTTTGCTTAGCATCAGCATGCATGGCTTCTTAATCTAGGTGCAGTTGCTAGGCCAGTGTTCTTGTACTAATCTATGTGTTTCTTGGCCTTTGGCCACAAGATAAACACAATTCTTGCTGACAACCAGAAATCTGCAGCAAGCCTACATCTGTTGCTGTGCCGATTCTGCCTGGAATTTAGCCGCATCTTAGTGTATGCCAAACCACCAAGCTGGTCAACTTTCCTAGAAACAGTTCAGCTCGATGCACCTCCTGTGAAGGGCAAGAAAAGCTTGCTATGCCCCGTCCCAGGTCCTGACGAAAGTGCAAAGTCACGTTTCCGCTCCTCTTGATGTATCACAAATGGTGGTGCCGTTTGCTATGTCTGAGGGCTCTACAGATAGCTCTCAATATCCTGCATCAAAGTTGTTTCGGTCAAGCTTTCTGACTCGCACATTTCGAACTTCATTTTCTCAAATTAGAAACACAACAATGCTTGTGAACAAAGGTAGAAATGTATCATTTCCATTGTTTCATGTGAAGCCTGCAAGAAATTCTGACACTCTGCTTTGTGCATCACAGCCTTTGTGCAAATAATTGGCTCTCGTTTTGTGCCGAAGGTCGTTGCCAACACACTGTTAACTGCCCAAAACTCATCTCTGGGCTCTTATTGTCCAGCCTCCACTCCTCTGAAAATGCGCTGGTGGGCAGTTTTCCATGGCTACTTTAAAGCATGCGCTTGCACCGATTATAATGTGCCATAGTTTTGCATCTAGAGCAGAACCAAGTGGAATGGTGCAGGCAGACTGCTGAGTGCATGGTACACTAAATTTGCACCACCAGAGTTTGAGCACTTGTCGCATATTGCTGTTGTGGGTCTGAGTGGATTGTTCCTCATACTTACCCATGCCATCTGCGGTGCCCAAGGATCTCTGCTGTTTATGTGTGTCTCAGTTGTTCATGGCCAAGCTCCATGCTGTGGCGATGATGGCCAAGAAGTAGAAAGCTTCGTCACTGTCATACCTCGCAATCCAAGTGGACCGATGCGAGTTGAGGCAGGTGTTGGTCATCTTACGTTTCAGTCAAGTTTCGCTGTCAGGACTGTGCCATATTAACCCGACGGTATTTAAAATATTTGGCAGGCAAGTCAGACATGCGTGCATGCACTACTGCAGCAAAGCACTGCGGCAGCCCCTGCCCGCATCGACAACCTGCTCTAATCAAGTTTGTCGCCGTTCTGCCGTGCCGCGCCTTGCCACGCCCGCCGCGGGCCCTTCGGCCAAAAAGAAAATTTTTGTCGCGGGCGATTGGCGTCTCTTGCCCTGGCCGCCACGCGAGGTTTGCCGGCATCCACAGCAAAGCGCGCATCGGGGCGGGAGCCAGGCGACTTGCGGTCGCGAACAAGGCAACTTGCAACGAGGTTTGTGTCAACCGATGACAAAAGGGCGCTTCGACGGACCAAGAGTGCTAGGACCGTCCGGGAACCAAAGGAACACAGGCCGAACGAGCTTGAAAACAACGGCAGAGAGCGGAGCGGGGAGTGGCCAACACGGCAGTGGGCGGCGGGAATGGGCGGCCAGGAGGGGCGAATCAGGGCGTCGGTTTTCCGAAACTGCCCCCGCCAACGGCGCGAATGGACGCCCGCGGAGGCATTTCGCTTGGCGCCTCTAGCGCCTTGTGGGCAGCGATTCCCGCCGCCCGCGGAGGCTCTTATAGCCTATGGCGGGCGGCGTGATCGGACGGACAAGAAACGCGTATGACCCAGCCCCCTCGCAAGTCGCTGGTGCCCATTCACGCACCCCGGGGGGACTGTTCCAAAGCGGTACGGGCGGCAGGAACGGGCCCCAGCAAGGGGCCACTCAGGCCGCGCAGCTCGCGCCTCGTGGGCGCCAGCGCATTGCTCACCGCCTCTTGCGGCTTGTGGGCATCCATTCCCGCGACCGGCGGACGCCGTTCCTGGCCGCCGCAGGAGCCAGGAATGGGCGCCCGTAAGGCGCGAATCCCTTGGCGCATTTCGCGGCTGCCGGGCTCCCAACAACGCCACAGACAGCCCTGTTTCAACGCAAAGGCCGGCAGCGCGATTGGGCGCCAGCAACGCACCGATCGTGCGGCGCATCTGGCGCCTCGCGGGCGCCCACTCGCACCATTCGGCGGGCGCCATTCCAGACGACCGTGGGTGACAAGAATGGGCGCCCGTTAGGCGCACACCCTCCCGCGCCTCTCGCGCCTCGCGGGCGCCCAATCGCGCGGCCGGCCGGGGCCATTCCAGGCGACCGCGGGAGGCGGGAATGGGCGCCCATGAGGCGCCAATCCCGCAGCTCGTCTGGCGCCTCGCGGGCGCCCGTTCGCATTGCATGCTCCAGCCGTTCCAGGCCTCCGTGGGGAGTGGGAATGGGCGGTTGCGAATCGCCAATATGGCCGCGTCTCCCATGGCTTGCGGGCCGCTTTCTTCTAGCGAAGCGCCAGCCAGCTTTTGGCCATGCATTGCTGTGGTGTTTGCCTGCCATCGCGCCCGCCATTCAACTGCCGATCGAGCTGGCGGCAAGGACCAAGAGCAGCCGCCCAGGAAGCGCCCCACCCGCGTTGGTTTAGGGCGCCCAGAAGGGAGCCTCAAGGCGTGGGCAGAGCGACATGGAGCCTTGTGAACAGTTTAGCATGGCGGTGCTGACGGCTGACCGTCAGAGAGGAGCAACAAAAGTGCCGTCAAACGCGGGGATTGTTTGGCGGAATTGGCAGTCGATCGCCAGTGCCGGGGTGCCGTCAGTGTTTGGGGTTGGGGAGGGCCCAAACACAAGCGCACAAGCTTGGTGGTTTTGGCTGGAATGGCTGCCGATCTTGGCGCTTGTTTGCTGCCCGCATCTTGTTCAATCGAACGCTTTGTTGCAGCCAGCGCTGACGACCGTCTGCGACCGCGTTTGCCGCGTTGTTTGCTCAGCTGTGACCAGCCAAACTGGCGGGCTAAAACGCCACGAAACCCCATCCGGCTGGCTCGGCCACGCTCTGCAAGCTTGGCTGCCCGCGTGCCGCTCAATCGCCAACAACGCCTGCTCAGCCGCAGTCTCCGATTGAGAGGCGACCCAGCGGCGACTGAGGCGCCCAACTTGGCCAACACAGCAGGCGATCCCACCAACCGCCTAGCTGTAACGATCGCCTGCTGTGGCACCCGTCAGTTGGTGGTCAATCGCTGGTCAATCGCAGGGCAGCCGAGGTGTGGGCAGCCGGCGCCTGGGCTGCCCCGCCTTGGGCCTCGCCCTCGCCCTTCCCAGTGGGCACAGCTCGTTGCAGGCACGTTCCAACGCGTTTGCTCGTGTCCCGGATGAGCATGGATGAAAAAACGTTCAAGAAAAAAATGCATCGAGAACAGAAAGCCAAAGGGATGCTGACCTGCAACGGAAGTCCTTGTCCAGAAACAAACGGAAAACTAACTAATAAAAACAAAACCTATCACAAATCATGGACAATAGTAACAGAATCTATTATCCACTTGCACCTCTGTTGTGCACCCCTTTGTGGGTGCCACAGAGGACGGGACGTTGTCAGCTGAAAAGAAGCCCATTCGCTACCGCCTATTTTTCCTGATCAAACCATAGATTCTCAACAGTATTTGATCTTGAGCAGGTGCTGATATGCTATTAGTCGCAAGGTGCAAAACGAAGCACTATAAAGGCCAACCGTGAAGTGCACAAGGCAGCAACTCGAGTTGGTGCATGACCTGCCCTAAATACACATAACTTGGATCCCAAAACATGAGTCTAGATGATTATGTTCCATCGCTCAAAACCAACATTCGTTTTCACGTTGCAATCAGTGCATCAATTGATGCACAAATTGGTGCAACGATCACTGCATTCAAACGGCCAACAATTGGTGCACGAGTTCATACACCGATTGCCACACATTTCAAGAACTAACTGATGTGCCTAACTTCATCCTAAAAAGCCAAATCCAGGTGATTGGAAGTCACTGCGATTGAACATATTCAACTCATGTTCAAACTTGCTTGTATTCAATTGCTTGCTAAAGCCTCAAAGACTATTCCTATTTGGCCCTTGCACATTATGCAATTGTCTGTATTGTGTCACAATTATCAAAGAACATGAGGGTAGTCCAACCGACCGCGCGATGCCGCACCGTCGGGTTAATCAGAGGACCGCGCTTGCACAGCGCGCGCGGATATCCGGCCTTGTTAACCCGACGGTATTTAAAATATTCGGCAGGCAAGTCAGACATGCGTGCATGCACTACTGCAGTAAAGCACTGCGGCAGCCCCTGCGTGCATCGACAGCCTTGCTCTAATCAAGTTTGCCGCCGTCCGGGCGCGCCGCGCCTCGCCACGCCCGCCACGGGCCCTTCGGCCCAAAAGAAAACTTTTGTCGTGGGCGATTGGCGCGTCTCGCCCTGGCCGCCGAGCGAGGTTTGCCGGCCTCCGCAGCGAAGTGCACGCCAGGGCAAGAGCCAGGCGACTTGAGGTCAAGAACGCGGCAACGTCCGAGGTTCTTGGCCCCCGGCCATGACAAACTGCCCTTGGACGGACCAAAGGGCCATGGGCAAGTGATAGCCGCAGGCACAACCCGGCTATTGAAGAGCGGCACGGCGCGCTGCGAGGTGGAGGGGCAGGATAGGTGGGGTGGACGTTGGGCAACGAGCTGCTCAATCTGCAGGCTCTCTCTAAGTGGCGCACCCCTCCCGCTGGCTCTTTCCACACCACCCAAATTGTCCATCATGTGCCTGGGTCACAACGGTGGCACTCGCCACACACCCAGCTGCGCAGATGAGTGCGCGCAGTTGCTGCTCACGCTTGGCAGCTTGCCCGTGCACTAGCATTTGCAACGCGGCCCAACGCCTGCAACCAAATCGTTGGCACCCACAAGGGAGGCGTGGCAGAAGCGGGGGAGACAAGGGTCGTTGCAAGGGAGGCACTGAGGAGGTGCCCCGAGAGGCTACTTTCGCAACAGGGGAGGCCAATTGTCGTGGCGGGTGTGGCCACCACCAGCACAAGTCACAAGCCGCAGGGGACCGATCGCCACATCCCAATCCAGCCACTTTCGCTGCTCACGGCCACCGATTGCAGCCATCCACGGCGGACGATCTTGGCGCCTGTGGGTGGCAACAAGTGACGGCCACCCGAACGCCGCGGCCCTGACTAGCACGCTCCGGTTGCTTGCTGCCAGGTGGAGTGGCGATCAAGCCATTCCTGGCGCCCTTCCCCCCGCCCCTGCCTCGGCCATTTCAACCGCTTTGTTATGGCCAAGCGCCAGCGAGCTTTTGGCCGTGCGTTCCTGTGGTGTTAGCGTGACATTGCGCCCGCCATTCAGCTACCGACCGAACTGGCCGCAAGCACCATGAACCGCCGCCCAGGAAGTGCCACAACCGCGTTTTGTTGAGCACGCCAATCGATGGGGGCATGGCTGGCAAAGGAGCGTGCGCCCGGAAAAGATCCTCAAGGCGTGGGCAGAGCGGTGGGGAGGCTTGAGGCGAGTTTGGCGCAGCCGTGTTGGTGGCTGGTCGCCACAGAGGAACAACAAAAGCGCTGCCAACTGTTGGGAATATTGGGCAGAATTGGCAGGCGAACACCAACGCCGGACTGCTGTCGGTGTTTGGGGCGTGGGAGAGCCCAGACACAGTGGCACAAGCTTGGTGATTTTGACGGGAATGGCTGACGATCTTGGTGCCTGCTTGCTGCCGGCATCTTTTTCAACAAAACGCTTTGCTGCGGCCAGCGCCAACGACTGTTTGCACTGGCGTTTGGCACGTTGTTTGCCCAACCTTCCGGCAGCGACCAGCCAACCAGACCGCTGGCTCAGCCATGCTGTCCAAACTTGGTTGCCCATATGCCGCTCAATCGCCCACAACGCTTGTCCAGCCGTAGTCTCAGATTCAGTGGCGACCTAGCGGCGATCGAGGCGCCAAACTCGGCTAACGGACCAGGCAATCCCACGACGCGCCTCGCTACTGCGATCGCCCGCAATGGCGCCCATCAATCAGCGGGTCAATCAGCGGTCAATCGCAGGACCCAAGGCGCCGGCAGCCTGCGCCTGGGCAGCCCCGCCTTGGGCCTCGCCCTCGCCCCTCCCAGCGCGGACAGCCCGTTGCAGGCGCGCTCCAACGCACACGTTCCTGGGTGCAGGTTAGGATGCATTCTGTTCCGTTCGACGCATTCTTTTCCATCGGAAATCCTTGTCCAAAAACAAACAGAAAATAACAGACGAAAATAAAATCTCTCAAGAACAATGGACACTATTAACAGAATCTATCCTGCACTTGCACCTCCGCTGTGCACCCCTCCGTGGATGCCAAGGAGGACAAGAGTTCGTCAACTGAAAAGACGCCCATTCGCTACGACCTATTTCTTCTGATCAACACATAGATTCTCAACACTATTTGATCTTGAATGGGCGCTGCAATTTGCTGCTTGCAAGGTGCAAAAGGCAGCACTGTAAAAACTAACCGTGCAGTGGCCAAGGCACCAGCTCGATTTGGTACATGACATCCCCTCAATATATATAACTAATCACCAGTCAAGAAAATTATGTTCCATTGCTCAAACCTGCCTTCGTTTTCACGCCGCAGTCAATGCACGTATTGGTGCATCAATGGATGCACAGATTGATACAACGATCGTTGCATTCAATCGTCAAGAAATTGGTGCACAAGTTCATGCACCGACTAGTGCACCATTTCACCCACTAATTATTGTGCTTAACTTGATCCTAAGAAACCAAATCCAAGTGATTGAAGGTCTGAAGGTCACTACAATTGAACATATTCAACACATGTTCAAACTAGCTTGTATTCAACTGCTTGCCAAGGCCTCAAGACTGAAACACCAGTCGAGAAAATTATGTTCCATTGCTCAAAACCTGCCTTCACTTTCACGCTATATTCAATGCATCTATTGCTGCATCAATGAATGTATAGAGTGGTACAACAAACGTTGCAATTAATCGTATAGTAATTGGTGCACGAGTTCATGCACCAGCTGGTGCACCATTTTATGTGATATTTGGTGTGCTTAACATGATCCTAAAAGGTCAAATCCAGATGATTGAAGGCCACTGCAACTGAACATATTCAACACATGTTCAAACTAGCTTGTATTCAACTACTTTCCAAGGCCTCAAGACTATTTCTATTTGGCCTTAGCATAATACACAATTGTATATATTGTGTCACTACTATCAAAGAATATGTGGGTAGTCTGGCCAACCGCATGATGCCGCACCGTCGGGTTAATTAGAGGACCGCGCTTGCGCAGCGCGCGCGGATATCCGGCCTTGTAACACATTTAACGAAATTGATGCCATTGGTGGTCTGAACTGTATAGAGACATGTGCCATGACCATTGTGTCGCTTTTTGTGTTGCTGTACTGTGCAAACGAGTGCCAAGCCCAAGCCTACATTTTGGGTTCTCCCCATTGAACTGTCAGCATGCAGCTGTCACCCGCACCCTGTTGACATCAACTGGTGGCCAAGCACTGTTCTGTGGCAGGTGTTGCATTTCAGGTACTTCTGCCTCCCATCGAACAGCAGCAGGTCCTTTTTTGTTGTGCCTCCTTCCACCCTTGTGGTGGACATGGGCACAGGCCTACAGGCCTTGTGTCTCAATGCACACAGCATGCAGAATTCCGCTGACTGCTGCAAGCCTGCTGCGATTCCAGACAGTGTCGAACCGCAAGGAGACTTCCCTGATAGCTCTGTGATGGTGCGGTTTGCTGACACGAGCTGGAATGGGGAAGCGGCAACCAGTGATGGAGGGCTGCTTTCTGCTGAGGTGGAGCCGTTGGGTCCATTGTTCGACTATGAGACATTCATAGGAAAGTTGATCGAATGGTCAAAGGCAAAGGGAATGCTGAAGGTGACATATCACCCTCAAAGCTCATGTACGCCAAATGACTCCTCCAAGTCAGAGTGTGGCTCTTGACTTGTGCTCTTGGGGCCCTTGCCTTAGTCCATAGGATGTTTATGCAGGGCATGCCAGAGGCCAGAATTCTCTACCCATCAGTCCAGTCACTGCACTCTCGTTAGTGATTTTTGTGCAAATACCTACTCGCCGGTATTGTGCACTCTGAACCCGGACCACCCTGTTTTGGTGGTCAAAGTATGAAGATGAAAGCCCATTTCTTTTGGATGGCCTCCATCAGCAGGCTCAGCTGACCTTTTCATCGCAATGGCAAATTCTTGCAGGACAACGCCCGACTATCAGACTACTGTGTGAAGATACTTCAACATGGGCCAACAGGAACACTCCTTGTGGGAAACAGCAACGATGTGATCTTGCTGGCAGGAATGCTTTTAAAAATGTCAGACAGCATGCCTGTCTACCAGGCTTGGATTGCCCTGGTGCATCTGGATCTCCTCACCTCCAAAGTGCTGATGACAAAGTCCTGGAGAGGTGGGTAATGACGTTAGTGGTTGCCTTTGCCATTCAGAAATGACAAACTGAAAACCCGGCACCTTGGAAGTCGTTGAAAGGCGCAGAGACATCCAGCCAGTGACTGGCCAATTCCCTTGGATTGCTGTTCGACATGGCTCAGTGTGGAATTGCCAATCCATTCACCAGCTTTGGCAAATGTGCTACTGTAATATCACTAGTCGAAATTGAAAAGCACTTCCTTGTGCCCTCAGGGCAAGCAACTGGCACAACTCCAGCTGCAATGTACTACCCAGATTGTTTGCTCATTCCTCTCTCGCTCGTAGACGCGCATTACTGTACAAGCATATGGCACACTTGGGGCTGCTGGGCAAGGTGCTGTGTTCGACTTCCATGTTTCTTGTGAGGGTTTTAGCATGTGACTTATTGAGAGGGCAATGGAGACAGTGGAATCGCCCCTGGCCAGGTGATTTTGATCGCCCTGATCTCTGGTCCTAAAAACCAAGAGCTTGAGGCCTGCCCAACTAACTGCCTCCCACTTCACTTCAGCATAGGAGTGGAAAATCTGTGCTGCTTATTTCCATTTGCTCAGTTCAGCCTTTCCGATTGTCCTGCTCCCCACTGATGCCCCTTTTGTGTGTTCTTTTGCAGTTCTGGCAGACTCTTTGTTGGTAACACCCGGGTCTGCCGTTTTGGAGAACATGGTAACAACAGCAGCTAGTGTGTGGGAAGCCCGGATTTGTCAGCTGTGTGCAGAGGGTTTCCAAACGCACATGCTGTCGAACATGTCAGTACTGTTGACAGAGGAGTCTCTCCCTGTCCTCAAGCACCACCAATTGCCCTGGGTGATATTGGGATACAAGAAGCACCAGCAATAACGAAGCAGCCAATCCCTGCGACTAAATTGCCAAGAACATTTCAATGCACCACTGCTTGCACCTTCAGGCGATGACAGGCTTGTTCCAACAGCAGGTGCCAAAATCTTGTAGTCCATTTTCATGGTTGCCAGTTTTGCTGGGGTGCACTTGTGGGGTGTGGTTTGGTTGACAGTTGCATGGTGTAGTCTCATGTCATCAACGATGTCCGCTGCCATCCTTGTTGTCCTTGTGGGCGCGATGAAAATCCCTTGCCAATCTTGTTTACTTGGAGACACAGTGAAACTGGGCTGGAAAGGAGGTGTGCAACACAGCCAGGAAACTGCCAGTAAACCACTCAGCAAGCGTTTTAGAACTCGTCCATTCTGCTGCATCTGTGAAAACCCCTAATCTGACTCCAAAAGTCAAGTGCCTACCCTACAATGCTGGAATTATCCACCTGCAAAACGGCACTAAAGTCATGTCGCAGGCACATGTGATCTGATTGCTTTGAAAACAACTGCAATGAAGGCACAAACACACACACGTGGACGCGTTGAAACTCCAAAGCATTGTATTCTCGCTAAAACAAAAAGCTTCTGGCCACCTTCACTTGGTTCGTGCGAATACCATTTCTTCAAGTGACGAATGGCAGAAGAAACGAATTGTGTTATAGAACGAAAGGAAGGATGGTCAGACAATCGGCACCACTAGCTGAGCAGAAGCGTGTGAGGATCTGTTCCCCACTGGATTTGGATTCAGGGTCCCCGAATGCAGGGGGATAAGGGTGCTGCTAACAAAAATGCCCGGCAATCATTGTAGGTGCATTGCAAACCTAAAGACATGTGTCACATGCGCTGGAGGCCCCATAGGGGCAGGATGTGTATGTCAGAAAACTGTCACAGGTAATGTCGGAAAACAGGTTGTATTCATGGGTCCAGAGGATCGACTCAAAGCCTAGAGATAGTCCAATGATGGTGGAAAAACTTGTACCATCGTTGGACAGTTATTTTGTACCACAAAATATATATTTATTGAGGGTTTGGGTCAGGCGTCCATTTTCTTGACCTGGAGCTTGGCCGTCTTTCTGGAATGTGGCGCACCCAGCGTTATTGTTCAGTTTGCCATCCACCCTTGATGGAAACAAAATTGGATTTCATCTTTGATTGCCCGCCTACTCTCTCAAGTGACTCCTGGCGTTCTGGCTTTCGTCATCGCAGCTAATGCCATTGCGCACACAGTCGCCCTTTTTTGCCATTGGTATTGCTGTAACTAGGACTGATTGAGCATGATTAACAGCTGGACGCATAGAGAAGTGATGAGGCATTAGGGTTGCACGAAGGACAATGATGAACGGACTGAATATAGGGGACAGGACTCCTGTTGTCCCTTTGATCGGCTGCAAGCCGTTGCCGTGGACTCGAGCCTATATTCCCCATTCAGGGCTCGCCACCCCTCGACTCTGCCTGCCTTCGTCGGTGTGAGATATTGATTGAAGGACACTCTCGTTAGGCTTTGCAGTTCACCAATCGCTTGGCAGATTGGAGGGATGAACATTGGCTTGGGGCTATGTAAACGCCAACGTCACAGCCGCGTCACTAGCCACCTCACCATCCCCCTCTTCGCGGGCGCCACCCTGAGCGACGCTCCCGTGCTGCGGTTGGGCCTCGGCAGCGCTCCCACGGCACCTATTCCCCTCTCCTCCACCGGCCTCATTGCTCAAGGCCTCCCCTCCTGAGCGAAGACGCTGAGACAGAAATCGAGCGCGGAGCTGCGCCAATGGACGGCCACGGTCCAGCGCACGGGGAGCGGCTGGCCAGGATTGCCGGCCACTTCAAACCGGTGTGCGCTGTGGACTTCTGATCGTAAAAGGAATGGCTGCGGCATTGTGATGGCACGAGAGGTCCCTTGCACGGTCCCGGGGATAGCTGTTGCCGATCGTGCTGACCCGCCGTGATGGGAGAGGCTTGTGCGTTTTGCTTGTCAGTTCTCCCTGTAACGTTTGAATTCCGAGCAAGACCAACCCTAGCGAGCGCATCGATCGAAAGTTTTGCCTTCCGGGCGTTGAATTGCTTCCTGCAGTTTTTTCTCACGGTGCTGGTCTGTGTGTTGCCTTGTGCCACCTTTGCAGGTGGAGGCTAGCGGGCACGGCGGCGTGCTGCAGGTGAGCCTTCCGCAGTTTTCTCCTCCCTGTTCAAACATGATTTCAGAATGCTGCCTATTTCCCGTTATAATGCGGGAAATGGGCCTGCGTGTTTGATTCTCCACTGGGATGATGTGGAGCCAGACCCTGTTTGACTGCGCTGTCTGTGTGTGCAAAGACCGGAGCATGCTCAGCGGGTGACAGCGCAGGCTACGAGCGCCGGAATGCGAGCCTCGATGATGTGGTGATCGTGGCTGCCCTCAGGACGCCCATGACAAAGGTGCGCCCGTTGTTCATGCCTGTTGAGAAAATGCATGTCCCAAAATGTGCGGAAGCCCTTGAGCAAACTAATGCACCTTTGTTTTGTTCCACGCCCTCGCTCTTGCGCTCGCCCTGCATCCTCTATCTCTCGGGTTCCAAAACATCAATCTGCTGTACTGGCTAAAAACTGAAACATTTCTGTGCAATGACCTCTTCAACAGCGTGAGTTCTGTGCAGCTACACCTTGCCGTGGTGTTTCAACTAGTGTTCTGTCCACCCTCCAAACCCCAGAGCAGCAATAGTGTTGCTTGATATTCCCTGAGGTTTATCTCTTGAAATCGCTCTGTGCATCCTCAACCATCAGTTGCACGATGGATGGGCATGGATGGCACCCACAGCCCAGTGCCTAAGCCCTCTGCAAGCTGAAAAACATCATCTGCAGCATCAAAAGTTTCGGAGACATGCATGCTGTATTCAGTCATTGTTCTAATTGAGAGACACAGCCATCCTTGGGAACTTTGCTCCCGATCATCTTTCCCCTGCCTGGTCTAGTTCAGTCTTTAGCTAGTCACCTGCAAAGCTGGTGTTGCTAGCGAAATGGCATGTGTGGAGTTGAGAATTGGCCGATCTCAGTTATCATTTCGTCCCTGTTGACAAGTGTAAACATAAGCATTCTGGACAGGGTTGCAATTGTTGAACTGTTGAATACGATTTGACCAGTTTGCTTTTACCAGGCAAAGCGGGGATTGTTGAAAGACACCACTGCTGATGAACTGTTGGCGGCAGTCCTCAAGGCCGTGGTGCAGAGGACTGGAGTAGAACCAGAGGTAATGATGAGTGCTTGTCCTGCATGGATTGTTAGTCACCAATGTGGTCAACCACACTGATTCCGCTTGTGGAAAATATTACTTAGTTGTTGCGACAAGTATGCCACAGGTAAAAATAGATTAACAATAATGTAACAATATAACAATAACAACGTGTGATAGTGGAAAATTGATTGTATGGGCCTGATGGACATGCACAGGGCACATTGGCAGCTGCTGTTCCCAGTCCAAATGCCAAATTCTGGCATGGGATACTCCACCAGAAGTATCGTTAGTCGCAGCGCATGGCATGATCTTGGAACGTGCAATGTTTATGCTGAAGCCATGCTGTCATGCAACAGGCATCTGTCAACAATGCAGCACAATGCAGTGGGTTGCAGACTTGTGGTGTGTGCTTCAGGCTGTTGGAGATATAGTGATTGGCAGTGTGCTGGGACCGTCCTCCCAGCGCGCAAACGAATGCCGCATTGCTGCTTTCTTCGCTGGCTTTCCCGAGACTGTACCTATCCACACTGTCAACAGGTATGCCTTGTGAAGTACTGGCTGCCCAGGTTCTCAACACTACTTGGAGTATTGGTTCAATGGCGTGAGTACAGCTACAGGAATGTAGCTGCACTCATGACCATCTGTGCATTTGGTTGATTCGTGCTGTGCACAGATACACAGTCAATGGCTATCCGATGGAATTTCGCCACCAGCAAAGCTCCTTTTGCATCAAAATGGCGGGGTGCGCTTTGCCTCCAAGCCAGCCAGCCAGATAGCCTGGGATAGCAATTCATTTACTGTTAGTCATATCCATGGAAGGTTGAAGGCTAAATTTCTGCTGGTTCCACGACTTGCAATGCCATTCACTTATTGTGTCCCACCTTGTCCACCTGAAACAGTTGGGGTGTATGCAGAATACTCAGCATGTTGTGGTGCACTTTTGCCAGTTCAAACATTGTCATACATTGTAGAGAATAGGAAGTGCTGCGTAGCAGCACACTCGTCCTAAAATGATTATTGTTCTCTTTCGATGCTGTCATTCACCGCAGATTCGTGCCTGCAATTTTAGCTGTACCTGGCTGTCTAAGAATGTGTGTGCTTTGTGCAAAGGCAATGCTCGTCTGGGCTGCAGGCTGTTGCAAGTGTTGCTGCTGCAATCAAGTCAGGATACATTGATATCGGCATCGCTGGGGGTGTGGAAACAATGTCCCTCAACCCTATGAAATGGGAAGGTGGTGTGAACCCCAGAATCCAGACAATGCGCGAGACAGCATCCTGCTTGATGCCAATGGGAATCACCTCGGAAAATGTGGCTCAAAGATTTGGGGTGACCCGAGAGCAACAGGATCGGTTTGCCGTTGACTCGCACAGGAAAGCTGCAGCAGCGCAGCGTGCTGGAAAGTTCAAGGACGAGATTGTGCACGTTGCAACCAAGGCAAGACTCCACAGACTTTGCTTAGAGCTGTCCCTGCCAGCTGCTGTCGTGATGCAGACTGTCGCTTTTGCGTCATTCTCAGTATTCACTTTTCCAGACAGTTGCGTGCACAAAAGGATGAAGTCATGGCTCCACCTTTGATGGCAAGACGACTTGACAGGTGTGCATGTATGCTCTAACTGGCCTGGTTCCCCGTGTGGGGATTAGCAATGTACGCAGCAGTGAACAGGCACTAGTCAGTACATAATGTACTGTGGACGGCTAGGAGTTGACATCCTGACACTAAGTTACCCGTTGCCCAGGTTAAGCATCCCAAAACTGGCGACGTTGTCGACGTCGTTGTCACCGAGGACGATGGCATCCGTGCAGATTCGTCCACTGCCATGCTCTCCAAACTCCGACCTGCTTTCAAGGAGGGGGGATCAACGACTGCTGGCAATTCATCACAGGTGCGAAGGCTTGATTTGGTCGATTAAATTTGCCAAAAAGAAAAGACAGAAAACTGCCCGTTCACCTTGATGGCTATGTCAGGGTTAATTCCGTGTGCGTTGCTCACAGCACATTGTGCGTTCAGCTCCATAGCAGCAGCAGCTGCGTGACACCCCATTATGTGCATGTGTTGTGGATTTTCGGCTATCTACGGGCACTGGTATCCTTCACCACCATCTGGTGCATTACAATCGAAGGGGGGCTGGCGTTGATTTATGTCCATGCACAGGTGTTGTCAACTGTTGAACCTCTTTATTGTGGAAATTACAGATGCATATGGTTACATTGTACAGAACACAGGCTTGCCAATGTTTTCTGAAAGCCAAACTCTGAGCTTCAGAGAGAAGGACAGTAAGGACCCTGTCTGAAAGGCAGCTCCGGTCAATTCCAACTTAAGCAACTCTGTGTGACAGATATGATTGCTGTCAGGGGTTGTGTATAATGCCATTTGCTGGTTGTTGGCTGTTGAGGATGCAGCCCATCAACTCACACCACTCCAGTGATTCGGAAACCATTATGTGTTAAGTTCTTGCAGTGCCCTGCGGATATCACCAGATTTTAGGCAAAGCCAGAAAACAGCAATCTACTGTGCTAGCTGCTTGGCAACCAGCAGTGCTTGTGAGTGTTCCCTCCCTTGCGCTCACTGCAGCCATATTCGTCGATCGAATGGTGAGAAATGGGGTACTGAGCAGGAGCTATGTGCTGCTAGACCACCAGACTGGTGGCACTTTCAGCTGAACATGATTGGAAATTGATTCGAGAGTTCTGCCCTGTGCTAGGTCACTGACGGCGCGTCTGCAGTCCTGTTGATGACGCGGCGCGAGGCCCTGCGACGACGGCTGCCTGTCTTGGGTGTCTTCCGCAGTTTCGCTGCAGTTGGTGTTGACCCAGCCGTCATGGGGATTGGCCCTGCTGTTGCCATTCCTGCAGCACTCGAGAAGGCTGGCCTCACTCTGGAGGACATCGATGTCTTCGAGCTGAACGAAGCGTTTGCCTCCCAAGCCACATACGTGATGGGTAAGTGTACGGCATACACACAGGAATGTCTTTGTGCAGAATGGAGTTCCATGCAGCTCGATCTATTCCTTGCAGATTGCAGAAAATCTACCTGTGTTCTGCCAAGGAAGCATGTGCACCAAAAATCAAAACATCTCTCCAAAGAGAGATTGTCCAGCAGTAGTTCAAAAGCCTGAATCGGGGTAGTAGTCACACCAGGTATGCCCAACCACGGGAATGGTCAGCTGATCTGGAGGGATAGATTCGCGCTACCCTTGGTGTACGCTCTTGTACCCATAAGCCCGCCATTCTGCACTGAATCGTTCATCAGTCCCCGTTTTGAGCAATGGCCTGCGGCCCCCGTCTGCTTGATGTTTTTGCTGCAAACTCACTGCCAACTCGTGGTACCTCCACCCATGATAGTCGACTGTCTAATGAAGTTGCCAATTCACTTCCCCAGCCCGAGCTCGCCGCTGGAAGGAGATTCTGCGCATCTCCAGCTCGCTGACATAAGATGCCGCCCGGTTTGCAGGGAAATTGGGTTTGGATCCCATGAAGGTGAACCCCAACGGGGGGGCCATCGCCCTGGGGCACCCGCTCGGCAATACCGGCTCGCGCTGCACAGCCGCCCTGCTGCACGAGATGCGCCGAAGGGGCCGGGCGGCCCGCTTCGGTGTGGTGACCATGTGCATCGGCTCGGGCATGGGGGCGGCCGCGGTGTTCGAGCGCGGTGGGGAGGTGGATGATTTGAACGTTGGCCCGGTGGCCCAGCAGGGACACCTTTCCCGGGACGCCCGCGTTTGACGGGGCATGTTCTGCGTGAAGGTCTGTCGCCGCTCCCTGTGCCCATCGCCGAAGCCATCCTGAATTGCTGTTGGCGCTGTGGTGGGAAGGTGGTGGCCGCCAGGGGGACAGGTGGCATTTGTCCTCGCCGAGTTCCAGGTACTGGGAGCTATTGCGTCATTTCGGCAAGTCGAGCAGAATCGAACACAATCGAGGAGAATCGAACAGCGACCATTTGGGCCCAGGGGAATTTGGAGAGCAATGTGGCAGCATGGGCAGTCGCAGGGACGATTTGAGGGTCGCTTTCTGTATTGGCAGAAACTTTTTACAAGGCTGGGTCTGGAAGGGCAACTGCTGCCTGGGCGGCGTCCTTGTAATGTGTTTGTGTAGGTGGGTAAGGTAGTGAGAAGGGAGGGCTCTGGTTTTAGTTGCTTGGTTTTCTGCTTATCTGTCACACGACAGATTTGGGATCCCGCACATTGTCTGGCCCCCCTTCTTTTCGGGTGCCAAGCGCACCTGAAGATGCTCGTCTTTCAGCATCATTTACGACTGTGCATTCGAAAATGAATCCTGGGCGTTTGGCATCCGGCTTGCCAGCTTGCAGCGAGCAGCGTCTTCCTCGCTTTCATGCTCCCTTCGTTGAAGATATTTCACCACGGTTGGTGAGGCGCGTTATTGCCAGCCTACTGTACCATGGCAGCACTCCCGGCTGTGCTCCCGCCTGTCGTTCTGTTTGCCAATCAGGCAGCGCAGCTGCCCCCATGCTGCCAGTCCCTCTAGCCCACGGCCCCAACCTGCGCAGTCTCCAAATTTTGTCCAGAACCTGAAAATGACCAGTGCCGGCACGATCTCGCACTGCAGCTGGTGACAGCTCGTATCGGTTCTCTTGAAAGCAACGCGCCATAACCGACCACGTCACTCCTTCAAAGCCAGCGCAGTCTTACCAACCAACCAAATGTCCGACCAAATAGAATCGATCGTTAACGGAGCTCGCCTTCGCGCCCTGTCAGACCCTCTGGGGTGGTAGACAGACTCCACCGGGTGCTCCTCCGCCCAACGCGACGCTGCCGGCGATGGGAAGTCGACACGAAGCCCCGACCGACTGGGGCAGCGCTTTCGCGAGAGGGGCGGAGGCAGGCTGGCACCGACACGGCAACCAGCACGACCAGAGGCACACGGATCAGACAGGAATCAACGGACTCAGCGAGGCTCCTGCTCACCATGGAGCGCCTCGTATTATGTATTAAAACCAGTGCATTAGTACATCGTTATTGTCTTTGGTACTGTTCCCAACGTTCCCCAGTACAACTCCGACTAAGAAAAGACTCTTTCCCATCCAATACACATCATAGTGCGCCTGTCATGGATCAGATCATCCCTCGATTCTACCCCGAGCATGGCAGCGGCATACCCCAAGACACGGCCTGGCCATGCCCCGAACATGGCGCCGTCACGCTCCGACCCTTGACAGCTCATCAACGGTTGGTCACTTCTAGTCCTGCCTGCCCGAGGATCATTCCTACGTTACTATGACGCTATCCCATCGCTGACTGAACGTATCAGTAACTCTTTGTCAATCGATCGTATGTCTGTAGCTCGGCAGCCTCCGACATCGTATCATCGTCCTCTCGCAGCCGTATTCCCGCCTTTGCCGTCGCTCAGTACGCCTCCAATGATGCGACATCAACTCCGATGCCTCCGATAGTCCGTACACACCATGTGGGACACCGCGTCAGACCGCAAGCGGGCAGTGTGACTTCGATGAGCACCGCACAGTGCTGTGCAGGCTGTAGTCGTAGATCAGGCTCTAGAATGATGGGAATCAGTTCTTGGGTCTGACGTAGAGGTAGTCTCAGTCGGACAGGCCGCTTCCACGCTGCCAGGGCGGACAAACGTGGCATTTTGGCGACCGTAGTTAATCTTTGTACATGGTAACACCTTGTAAAGAGGTTCCGTTTCCTTCCCAGTACTTCGCACGTCGTTTAGTCATACTTGTGCCATGGCGCCGGCACGCCCCAACCATGGCGCTGGCATGCCTTAACCATGGCGCTGCCACCCTCGGTCCATGGCTTCCTGATGGTTAAAGTCTTAAACTCTAATCCTAATAAATGCAGCTTTTATCCCATGGTTTCTTCACTTAAAACTTCTTCCCCTGTGTTATGAAATCACCCCTTTTTGTCCTCTTTTCAACCCATTTTTGTTGGTTTTTTAATCAATGGCCGTTGCATAAATGGTCTTGATTTGAGGTGATTTCAACAGTTCCTATTCAGGACCACCAAGCCCATTGCCCGACACACAGGTAAGCATTAAAGTTTCCAGATAAAGACTTTCGCCACGCCATGCAAACCCTGTTGTCGGCTAAATACTCCCCCTGCAGGACCTTCGATTTGAAGGGATACGGAGACTTAGCAAATACGATCGGATAATCCAGATGCCACTGCGATGTGAAATTGGCAGCAGCCAATCTAGTAACGGAAGCGGAATTAGACACTGGCATGTACAGAAACTCCCACGGCTTGATTCGGCAGGGTGACATGAGCACTTGCATCACACACAGGTTCATCGCGCTCGACATCTGGGTTCGTGGTGATCATGGCGTTACTCGCTCTCAGCAAGTGGTCCAAGAATTTCTCGGACAAATCAGAGCTGATTGGGGTGCGTGTCGCCAGTATGACAACTATGAAATGTCCAATTGTCTCAGGTCTGGACATCCGCCAACGGTGCCACTCAGACGTCAAAAGTGAGTGCACCGCTCTTGCATCACCCCGAAAGCTTCATCAGCTCATGCTGCGGAGCTGCCATCGGACATTACAAGGCGGCACAATCCATCGTGTTTGCGATGGCAACAGAATGTTCGAGCCATCGCCTATCCTCAACAGCCAACTCCAACAGCTCCAACGACAACGATACAGCTGATACACTTTCATCTCGCTGCCATGTCAAACCCTGGCTGCGATGCAACTCCCATACGATCGTTGTGGGTGTGCGTCACGTGCGACATTTTTGCATCAACATCTGCAGCCTCTGGCGCACCTGAACGCAACGGCGATAGGTACTCCGACACCCCAAGATCCCAACCGTGCATGCAAGCACCCGCCCTCTATTGTTCCCAAGAATGAACAACACCTTGTGCCAGGGTAGATTCTGTTGCACCTTCCTCATAATGACCACAAGATGAAGAAGATGATCGATGGTTGATGCAGGGAATTGTTGTGGAGACGGGCTGGTCACATCAGGATGTAAAGACGGCCATTTTAAGCATTTGCAATTGTAGTACTCCACGCGCTTGACCAACAAAGCTAGTAGCGTGTTTTTGTAGTACTCCCGTGCATAGGCTGCGTTCGCGATCTATTAAAAGGCAGCAGTACACTTTCCACCATACTCGCAGTAGTACTAAGTGGTGGTTAGTGTAAAACTGGGCAGAAAACTGCTGCCCTCGGAACACACGAGATGCTAACTCAAAGAAAGTTACATACCTCATCTATGTGCCGGTATTGGTCAGCCATACACACCAGGGAACGCCAGCCCTTAGCTAACATTCCACTTATAATAAACACCGCAAAAATATAGCTTTGCTGCAGTTTTAAACATATGCATGCAAACTGCCCAAATTCCACACTATAAATATGTCTGTATAAGTAACTCAGACCGGGATGAACTAGTTTGACACTTACACACTCCAGCCCCACAATCAGCAACCTTCCAAGGACTTTCTCACCATAAAAACATGCAGCATTCTTTCGTGCAAGCAATACCACATAGTTTCTACGCACACTTAACTAAATGTAGCCCAATTTACAAACACTTTATGTGAACCACAAAATACATGCAGTAACTTGCATTTCGCATTCAGAAAGCTCCTTGGTAGGCACTTACCCTGCCCTTTGTCATGTGTGAAACACATAGCCTCACTTACCTCCTACTCCCGGTCAGACAGAACTGACCTTCGGTGAGTCCACAATAGCCAGGGCGTTAGCCCACGTCTGGTATACACAATTCACATTTACAGGGTAGCTTAGCCAGTTGTCAGTCTCCTCAGACCAAAACACAGACTCACAAGGCAGTAACAAAGAGGCAACAAAGGCTCCCATCAACCGGTGCTCGTTACATGGTTTTGTTCGACAAAGAGTATTGTCCCAGACCCACAACAACCCCTTTATACCTGCTCTGGGGTCTCTACGTCTCTCCCTCTTCCCGGTCTATCACTTTGTCCCCTTGGGCGCATTACACCGAGAACCTAGTATTCCTCACACTGGCCATAGTGGTAGTGACTACTTACTCTAACTACCCCTTTACACAGCACAACTACCCCGTTACCGCTACACCCTCACACTGCGGTCTGCGACTGCTTCCACCCCACACCAGTCCCCGCGGGCTCCTCACTCTACCCGCGCTTCGCTCCCTTCCCCGCCTCCGCTTTCCGACCCATGTAGATCTGTCCCGCCAATCCTCCGGTCCATTGAACTCCGCCCAATAGCAGTTCAACTGCCGCAGTCCCTCCTCACTATTTGTCTCGAACTCCATGGTTATCAGTATTGTTCGTGGCGGCCATTCATTAAAGAGCGTTTTTTCATTACACGGCTCTGGCCGCCAAAGTCAAGGGGCAGCTGTGATTAAACACCCAAGAGCCAAGGTGTCACTGCCCGAGTGAATGGACCACGAGCTAACTAAATAACATTCAGTGCATGAAACTATCTTTTCAGCACACAAAAATGCGTTTGATGCCTTCCTTTTGGCAGGACACGGCCCGCCATTTTGTGTAGTGCACAATTGCAGCCCGTCAGCACATTTTCTGTGCATTATTGACCAAAAAAACAGTTTGGAGCCACAAATTGCACCTTTACATAGGTTGCACACCCACACACCACTGCACCACACAGCCACATTACAAACCAACCCCATTCTACACCTTTCTGACTTGGGCACGTGCTGGTAGTCTCACTTTTATGCCACGTTGTTCCAGGGCGCGCCCTCATGTTACGGCCTCTCCAAGCTTCTCCTCTCAGCCGGGCAACCCCTTC